TTGCAGAGCATTGTTTGGTTTTCTGTCTTTTGTATACCCTAATCGGAAGCGAATGCCATCACTTGTTCAACAGGAATGAATGCGCAGGTAGAGGGTGAGAGCAGAAAGGAAGAGCGCAAAAGAGTGATTGGACTGGGAGGTAAGAAGAGGTATATGAGTTGCTCTCTAGATCTGAGATCCTCATATAATATATTATAATTTTAAAAATTTTTAAAAATGATGTCCTAAGTGTTTTTGATGTTGAAACGAAATAAACAGTAGACACGAAACGTTTAAAAAGCTGTAAACTTTTTAGGTGCAAGTGGAAATTAAATTAAAATTGAATTGAATTATAAATTTAAAATGTTTTAAACAAATAGTTGGGTATAGAAATATTCCATACTTTTCAATACTTTTTATACCACAGAGGAACATTACAAGTATCCATCAATAAATGAGCCTTCTAGAGTCTAGTGTATTTAATAAGTTAAGAATCTGAAGATTTAAATTTGAAATCTTTTGTGTGTTAAATGAACGTTTAAGATATTTAAAGATGTATTCCATATTCTGAGAAACTATGCCAAAGTGGAATATTACAAATATTTGGGCATCTATAAAATAATACTCCTCTTTGAATAGTTCGAGTCTTTCTTTACTACAGACTCGGTCTAGAGTATTACAATTTCGTTGCGTTCCCGAGAACTTTGGCCTTTGTTACATAGCCCGCCCCTCTCCTTCAGTGGAGCTGTGTGGAGAGTGGAGTGGCAAGGCACGCCTCTATCTGCAATGTGCGATCTATTGCGACGGGCGCTTTCCTTTGAGCGGTACGTAGACAATCTGAAGGAGCGGAAGAGGGGCTGCTGGGAGGCATTGGATAGAAGGCAACGCTAGCTCTGTTTCACCTGAGATTGATAGCAGTTGACGTCTATGGCTTTGGATTTGGTGGGTGCACTCACTGACAAAGGCTGGCTGAATGCTGTATACTGTGTACTGAATACCTTTATGATACGCCAGGTGAATTATGGCAACGGTGCGCTGCTCCATTTGATCTGAATAGGTCTCATATATGCGAGAGTACAACAGGTTTAGCCATTCCCCCCGCTCTTGATTTATAGGAAGCGATTGTGCGTTTTGCAAATTACGACAACGATGTCGGCAACTTGGGTGTGTGCGTGTGTGTGTGTGTGTGTGTCTGAGTATTCGTTATTATTATTAATAACTGAGTGCAACATCATCATCGTAATCATCATCAGCATCAGGACGAAGGTGCATGGCTCGTCTACGCTTGATTGAATCTTTTATATGTGTGCGGATTTAGAAGCAGCCGTTGACCAGCATTGAAATTAAATATTTATTAAATTGTCGACAGCAGCACACAATGGCATATAAATCAGCTTAAAAACTATTCAATGAATATTCCAATCAATGGCCCAAACACTTTGTCTGCAGCTCCTACACCAGGATGCCAGGTTGTGGCAGGGGGTGGGCGGGCAAAGGGGTTTGGGGGCGTGAGCCAGCTGAGCTGATGAGCTTTATACAACATCTGACCTCTTCTGCATATGCAGGAAATTAAATTTCATTTGAGCTTGTTTTGAATATATAGAATTAAGAAGGTTTCTGTGAGTCCTGAAAATACCCTGTTAACAGCAATGGAAATAGTTCAGCATCAAGAACTTGAGCTTTATTATAAAAGCAAATAATCAGGATTTAGTTTTATTTATTCTATTTCTTCGCAACCTCTCCGTTAATCGTCTGATCGTTATGATATTTTTAGCGTATTCAAAAATGCGTATTCTATAAATCTTCTTCTTTTCGTTTAAAGGGATATATCTTAGACTACTAAATTGTACAGCATAAAAGATGCATCCTTCTGCCTGCCTGAGGCTGATCGATAAACTCTTCCCCATATGATACTTACAGGGTATTAAAAAAGAGCTGCCTTAGCTGTAGAGCTTAAAAATATCTATGAAATTATTGAAATATAATTAAATTGACAAATGGAAAGCTTGCATTTGTAGAGTTTTATTGCCAGCTAAAAATCTTAACTCAACAAAAGCCCAGGCATACTCAAGGATAACGTCTCAACTTTTGTTAAATATATTGCAGGCGATTGTGTCCTTTTTCTCGGCTATGGCCTAAGGACAACTGATGAGTGACCGCTCGCCGAAGTGCAGCAGCAGGAGGCAGCAGACTCCCTCGGACGGGTCAGTCAATGGCCTCAGGTTACATTTGACCAATTTCAACTGAGAGGCAGATTTGCTTTTGAAAAGTACAAATTGAGGTGCAGGCTGTGTGTGTGTGTGTGTGTGTTTGTTTGTGTGTGTGTGTGTATGTTGGTTGTTAGCCTGAATGGGGTTGCAAGTTAGTTTAATTAATTCGACATCGAAGACTGTAAACATGGCTCGACAACAATCTCCAGCTTGACAGTTTACCTGAAAGAGGTGTAGTAGGCACTTGTCGTCAGTCAGACGGAGAGGACAGTTGGACAGTTGGACGGCTGGAGCGACACATCTACCCACACACTCGAGCGTCTGTTCTCCATTTAAGCAAAAACAAGACTATAAACAAAGCACACAACACCAAAGAACTTTGACTGCTTTGACCCGCTCGAGACTAAAGATGCTTCAATTAGCACTTTGGACACAGATATTAGTTGGAAAAAACAACCAGGCACAGTTACTCGCGCATACACCCAGTTTTAATAGCATCTCTACGTCTCTCTCTCTATCCCTCTCCCTCTCTCTCTCTCGCTTCCTTTCTCTAGGTGAGGCGGCACATAAAACGCGAGAAATCGGAGAAAACCCAAAACCCTAGACAAGATAAAGTCTCTGCCGAGGGCAGCTGCACCATAAAACATCTTTCAAATATGTAGACTAAAGTAAAAACTAATTACGAGAGTCATAAAAGATCTTAACAAACCAAAGTGCGAGCCAAATGAGTTGCTTTTCAGTTGTTTAGCTTTTCTTAATGGAGTCTTACTTCAAAAATTATATGACATACACACATATATATGCAAATATCTGTTACATACAACCTGACGGACGTATCTGCTCTATATTCAACATATGCATCTATATATATGTTTTATATTCCCAATGAGTCGCTTTTCCAAATTAGGTATTACCCTAAAAATTATATGACATTTGCACTTATCTGTTACATACAAGCTGACTCATCAATAAAGTGGCCAAGTATTCTGTTATATAAAGATTATAGGACGTATCTATCTAGCATATATTATTTGCTATATATGCAACACATATACATATATTCTATATATATTCCATAATATATTTAAAATAAAAAAAGCGCCACTTTCTCGACTGATAAGCCTTATTGATATATAATATACAATTGTTAATGTGAATCAAACAAAAATTATTAATAACAATACTGATAAACAATACTTTGTTTTTTATTTTCTTTCGAATTTAATAACAAAATTTTGCTATTTCATGAATTTAATCCATAGCATTTGCTAGAAGCATTCAAGACTTTGGTAACTTTCTACGGTTTCCTATGGACCAGTCCCAATATAATATCATGATATCGTATCTGAACGAAACCCTAAATTAAAAGGTATATATATGGAAATATTTGGAAATGTGTGTTGGAATTGCGAATTTGAACTTAAGCATGAACAATAATGAAATATCAACAAAGTCTGGAAAAGAATATGAATATGTAAATAGAAATCGAAATATGAATATGTACAGGATGTAAGGTCTATGAGTCTGTGAATCTGCATATGGAAATTGATGAATAGTTGATGAATATGAATTTCAATATATGTCAAAGTCTCAACTTAAAAGTGAGGCGTTTTCTGTATAAAAATCGTATAATCTACTGGGATCTACAAGTTTTCCATCAATCAATTGATATTTTGAGTATATATACAATATATATATATATAAATTATATAAAGTATATCCTATATAAAACTGAATATATAAGGAATAAAAAAGTTTACAGCTCTGTCATTCTAAGACTCTGCCTAGCTAACAGTTGCCCCATCCAAATGATGGAGATCGCAATAGGAGCCCCTGGACTGTGCCCTGTGACTTGGTAAGTAGATAGAGATAAGACGTCTTGTATTATTTTTAGTTAACTAATATTGATCATTGGGTCCAACTTGTGCCTGGTTCGTTGCTTGATTGATCGCCGGGGGATGAGTCGCCGTCGCCGTGGACGGTTGGGACGATCCTCATCGATTGCGACTGGATCGGGCAGCGAAATAAATTGTTGCTACACGTATAAGACATCGTGTACGACAAGTTAAGACAACGATCTGTGCGCCTCCGCGCTCCGACAAGCCAGAAGATCGCCTGGCCAGCATCATGCGGTGCGCCGCACTGCGCTGCATGCGAAGAACAACAGGAAGAGCCAACGGCCAAGAGGAAGATCAACACAGATGGATAGATACGAGAAGTCTTTGCGACTTTGGGTCTTGTGTGCGTGGACATTATTGCGCAGTGTCTATATCATTAATTAATTTAATCACTTCTACATGATTCTGTTGTACGTTGCCAGCTTTGTGGCAAGCGTTATTAATTTTAACAAAAATGTGATTCTCTGCCCTGCGTCGAGTACTTGGAAATGGGCATTGGGAAAGCCCCCAGGCAAACGCAATCGAATCAAATACGCATACAGCTCGAAAACATTTACAAAAAAAATATACAAACATATACATATATATGCATCTCCCCAAGCTGGACAACCAGCTAATCAGCTCAGTTCGATTGCTCAAGCGAACAGATTTATGAATACGAAACTCTTATCAGTGCCGAAGCCTGATTCAAAAATTTAACGCCGAACTGAGCTACAAAATGTTTTATGATCATTCAGCGTATGGCGATAAGAAGTTCTACTAAGACCGAGTATTCAGATCGGAATATGCGTTTCGTGTGTCAAATACTAAAGAGCCACACTTTCAATTTTTCTCTTGGACTGGGGGCACAGCATCTTCGGAGCAGCTGTCTTATCTTATCTTATAAAGCAGGCAACTGGAATGCTTAACTTACGTTTGTTTCCAGTTCAATTTTGGACACTTTTGATCATATATTTAGTTATATTCAGCTGCATCTGTTTATGTGTATATTATTTGTTGTTTACTGGGAAATTCGCACACAAAATGCACTTGAGAGCCGTCGGCTATTTAATTTTTTTTTTTGCGCATGCACACGGAGACGCACTTGGATATTTATGGGTAAATGGGATTTTTTTTAGGCAGCGGCAGCGGCTGCGGCAACGGCAACGGCAACAATAAATATCAACAACGATAAAAACAACAACTACTGCTGCAATCCGCGAGTCGCGCTCAACGTTGGGGGCTCCAAAACCGGACTGAGCGCTGTTGACGACTGCGACTGCGACTGAGGCTGTGACTGTGACTGCGACTGCGACTGAGCAACTGAAGCTCAAGTCCAAGTCGAGTCGGCGTCGTTGCTGCTGCTGCTGCTGCTGCGGCTGCTGTTCGCGTATAAAAGAGTCAGCGTCAGCGCCAGCGCCGCCTGCGCCCCAAGTCAACTGGCCAGACAGAGAGCGCATGCTTGCTGCCACCGGCAACGAAATATATTGAGCAAGCAACTCCGCCAGGCGCAGTTGCGCTCTCCCACACTCAAACGCTCTCTCGCATTGCTCACTGGCTTAAGCACAGACGCTTTCTCTTTCTGGCTTACGTCTTGGCGTATATCTGTTACTGTCGCACATAGACAGCTTTTAGCAGAAGCTGCTGCCGGTCAGCGCCAAATTGCAAATACGAAATAAATGAAAATAAAATTTAACCGTTAAATATAAATGAAAGAAATGTTCTTATATTGAAAAATGAAAAAAAAAAACCGCCTTTACAGGTGTTAAGCAATCCCCTTGGGCTTGACAGATTTATAAATCCAAATAAGATTAATATATGGATTAACAATTTTTGTTAAAAATGTATTTTAGAAAATTCTCAAATACTGCTCAACACACCTGGTGGCACCGCTTTCTGGCAACCTCGTGCACTGAGTGAAAAGGCAAAATGGAGCCTGGCGCTTAGAGTTTGTCTCATCGGGCTGCACTGCATGCATGCGCGACAGAGATGGCGCTTGCAGCAACACGTGCTCTTATCAGTTGAGTGAACTGAACTAAAACCGAGTGAAATTCCCACTCAAGCAGCTGATAGCGAAAGAGTTGAGTTGGGCTAGCTTGGGTTGAGTTTAAGTTGAGTTCGATTTGAGTGGAGCTTGTTTGCTTCTCTTCGGCTTATTGTTATTTTCTTTTTTATTTTTTGTTTGCTTAATTTCATTAGATGCTGGCGCAGCGTTGTTGTTGTTGTTTTTTTTTTTTTGCTGTTGTCTGCGGTCATTCGTCCAGCTTGGGGTTGCATTTGGCCAGCAGCCACGTTGGCCACTCGATGAGCTCTAATTGGTCAGCAGCAAACATTATACATTATATGCCAGACGAGGGCCACTTAAAACCCTCAAAGCCCCTATTCGGGTATTATGCGACTAGCTGGGAGTCGGAGGCATAAACAACTTTTCAATCGATATTAGATGATAATAAAATAAACTAGGGCTTTACAAAAATGTGGGAGAACTGTGCGAGCTAATGGCAAAATTGATATTAAATAAATATATATTAATTAGCTACGGTCTCAGCTTTAAACTAAGATAATTACGGGAAGAGCTAGAAGAAGTTTTTAGAGAACAGTGCTTTTCTAATAAAATTTAGCTCAGATATATTAGCATCATAATAAAGGGGTCGGGCCTTATATATATTAACATGATTAAACGACTCATATACAAAGCAAGTTCTTTGAGGTTCATTGAACGATTCATCTAGTGATTCGTTGTCCAAGTCTAAGTGGTACAAATTGAAACTAGAACTGCTTGGGAATAACAAGTGAATGTCTGTTGAAACTAATGTCTAAACAATTTTGACTTGGCTAATTGCCAATATCGCTATATTATCGTTTTCTTAACAGCCATTGGGAGAAAAGAGTTTGCTGTGACGATGACACGATGACGTTTCGCCTGGCTTTTAGAAAAGTAAGTCGCTTGGCATATACACTTGGCTTAGTATATATTAAAGTTGACGACTACGATTACCACTAAAATATTAAATAGGTAAGTTGGGAGTGCCCGATAAGAAGATACTCTTTGTTGACTCTAGCCTAAGGGAATTGTTAATAAAACATGATTTCGATATCGATTCTGATCGATTGTGTCGGAGATGCTTCCGTCTACCTGTCACATACATTTGCACAAAACCAGTATACCCTTTTACCCATTTTGAAAGGGTTCAGGGTATAAATCCCAACGCAAAAGCTACTCAAAGCATTTGAAAGGAGTCTTAAGACAGCTTAAATCCAGTTTTATAATGTATTTAATCTTAATCAAGCTATACTTACAAATTTTGCAACAGCTTCTTCAATTATTTTCTTGCCAGCCAGCCAACTAATCAAAATTTAAGCACATTTCAACAAGCTGCCACCTGAACAAATGCCAACATTTGCTCGGAAAAAGCCAACCAGAGAAATAGAGAGAGAGAGAGAGTGAGAGAGAGACCCCAAAGTGTGGACCCCAACTGACCAAAGCCATTACGCACCGCTGTGAGATTGTAATCTAAGATCTCGTTATTGGAGCAGGGATTTAATTAGACAAATGTGCGCAATTTGTAATGTCATTTTTCAAATGACGACCAAGTTGGGGAAAAGCCAACTGTGAAGTTTTCTTTACTTTTTCGGGTGTTAAAAATGCAAGCCGATGAAAGAGGGAGCAGAGAGTGAGGGGCAGAAGGCGGGCGAGATAAAGATAAAATAGGTAAGGAAAATGGGAAAATGCGCAAAATATGTGCAAATGTGCAGCATGTGGACAGTGGTCATTATTTTCGTTTGGGGCAGGTACCAGTTACGACTACTATTTGGCAACCAGAATGTGTGTGTGTGTGTGTGTGTGTGTGTGCGAGCGAGTGTTTGTGTGTGTGTGTCAGCAGGCGGTCCATGTCGAGCATGTTCGGCTACAGCCACGGCGGCAGCGACAAAAAATGAGATTTGCTGACCAATGGTCATTAAAGCACATTTACAATTGCCCAAAGCCAGGCTAGAGTCTTGGCCGGCAACCAAATGAGGCGGCAGCAGCAGCAGCAGCAGATACTGCGGCAAACTTGGCTCAGCTTTGGAAAATGCAAAATGGCCAGAGACAAGCGATCAAATCGATGCCGAAATTAATTTATCTGCTCGCTACCAAATTTGACAAATTGCAAATGTATTTGGAATTGACTGCAGCTACTCCTCGCTGGCGCAGAGGGGCCTCCGACTGGGGCTCGCTATTGATGCAGCCAATTAATCTTATCAAGCTGTGAACTTTTGCGTAGATTTTTTTTACTTGCCGCTGCGCAATTGTCTAGGCGGGGCTTGGCAGGAGGCAGGGAGATTGGGGTGTGGGCGATTCACAGTACTTGGCTGTACTTGGTGGCATCCACTTGATTGCGCTAATTGGACGCGAATGATGAGGCGCTGCGCGCGATATGTCAACGGGGAAGCGGCAGCAGGAGCGGGGCGGACGATGATGTGGCAGCTGCTGCACGATGACAAGATTTTCATTCATTCATAAAATGGAAACAACACTTAACTCGTTCAATGAGGCACAAAAAAAGAAAAGAATGAAGACGAAACAAAATACGATGCTGACCGGAAGTTCTTGTTCTGGATTGCAAATTGCTCATCGCGTGTGTATTATGTGTGTATGTATCAATCAGCGAATCTTATGTGAATAGTTTTTTAGTTAACTAAAACAAACATTGTCTAGAAAACATTAAAATACATATAATGTGTCTGAATGTGCCTTGTTTGGCTTCATGAGAATTGCATAGAAGGGTGATATTTAAGCACAAGAGCCGACGTGAGTAAATGATAAAAATGGAATTGGATGGAAACAAGAGAAATATATAAAATACTTTACTTTACTACCTTAACGTGAAATTATGAATTTGGAAGGAAATGAATTAGATATTTTTTGAGGAATTTCCAGACCAAAGAAATGCAATCTTTGCCTTTTCTTTCCGTCTACCAAGCCAGGGCCAATAATTAGCCAGTTGCCTTCCCGTGCCAGTGTTGAAAAACGAGTATATAATCAATTTTCATTAATAACGAGTTTTTTATGTTATTTTCTTTTCTTAGACAAATGTATGTGTGTTTATCTGGATAATTAAATGTGCACAGTCGACACCCAGCACGAGTGTGTGTGTGAGCAGCTCTTGTCAAGTTCAAAAGTGTTAATTGAAGCAAAGGGTTTCGCAGTGACAAGCCGCAGCGTTTCCGTTTTGTAGCTGACGCAGCTGCTATCGCTGTCGTAGTTGCAAGTTACAGTTCGGAGCTGTTGTATTCATTCAGCTTGGGGTTCAGAGTTCAAATGCAGGCAAAAATATGTAAATGCAGGGCGCTTGCGTGTCGGGTCTATAGGGGGGTTTCGTTCTAACCGATTTAACCATTACACAGTAACAACAACATCAATTTCGGGCACTGGGAACGGGTCACGAGGTGCCACAGTTGGTTTTGAGCAGGGAGAAGCAAATGGAGGAGGAGGAGGAGGAGGCGGCCCTGGCGCAGGCGCGCAGACTAAACGCTTGTTAAAGGGCGCGCTCGAAATTGAGGCTCTCATTGTTGTTGTTGCTGCTCTTGCTTTTGCTGCTGCTGCTGCTGCTGCTGCTGTGTGGTTTGTGGCAACCGCAAAAACAAATCAAGCGTCAGGCAGAAGCAGACAGGCAGCGGGCGCGCTAAAATCCGAATTCGATTTGCAATTTTCAGGCTTTGCAGTTGAGTAAACAATTTTGAATGAAATGCAAGGCGAATGTCGATGCATAAATGGCGGGGCATGGCGGGGTAACAAGCTGCAAGAGGGTTGGCTTGTGTTGATTTGCAATTTCATGGCAGCCACAATTTGCACCTCATCAACTCTCTATCTCATGGGCAGCAATGGGCACGGGTGATGATCTCTCCCTGCCGAATCGTTCAATCAGCGCCTCAGCCAAGCGGCACTGGGCCAAAAGGTTGCCATCAGCAACGGCTGTGGCACGTGCAACAGCCAGAGCCCGCGAGGCCCGGAGCCACAGAGCCGCAGCAGCCTGAGAATGTCCCAAATAGTTAAGGCTCAATTTCTCTATCAGAGCCAGCAGATGCTTAAAAATGCACCATCTCGACTGCGACCAGGAAGTGGACAACAACAAGAAATGAGTAAAATTTTTTTTGCACGTTAGATAAATAATGCATATCTCACGCACTTGAACCTGGCACTGAACCTGAGCCTCTGGCTCCTAGCTAGTCGCTGGTCAAGCGTTTAATGAAGGCCCAGATCCCATGGCCATAATAAGT